TATATAAAGTAGCCCCTAGTTATATTGATGCTTAGTATCCCAATCATGTTTGTATGTTAAAACGTTCTTTGTATGGCTTAAAACAGGCTCCTAGAGCATGGTTTAACCGCCTCTATATGTTTTTGCTTTCTGTTGGATTTCAAGCATCCAAAACAAATGTGTCTCTATTTTATTAGTCTCAGAATTCTGCTTATGTGTATCTTCTGGTCTATGTTGATGATATACTTGTGATGGGGAGTGATCAGGATTTAGTGACTCGTTTGTTGTCTAAATTATCTGCTATTTTTAAGATTAGGGATCTTGGTGAACCTAGTTTTTTCTTGGGATCGAAACAATTAAATGCGATGATGGAATTTTACTTTCGCAACAAAGATACATGAATGATATTCTGAAACATGCTGGAATGGCAGAATGTAAGGCATTATCTAATCCTATCTCTGTTTCGGAATCTATTGAATTCAGTGCAGATTTGTATAATGATCCTACGCAGTACAAAAGTCTGGCTGAAGCGCTATAGTATCTCACTACCACACATCCTAACATATCCTTTGCAGTGAATCAGTTGTGCCAACACATGCATGCTCCTACAGTCTCACACTAGGAGCAACTAAAACGAGTCTTAATGTACGTTAAGGGAACAATTAATTTTGGTTTACGTATAAGAAAGTTAGTGTAAAGAGAACTTCATGCTTTTTCTGATTCTGACTAGGCTGGGTGTCCTCAAGATCGTAAATCTACTAGTGGTTATGCTGTGTTTCTTGGATCCAATCTTGTATCTTGGGTTTGCAAGAAACAAAGAGCTGACCCTCTCTCTCGCTACCTTCGCGAGTTGTGTCATCTCCGAGTGTGAGTGTTTTCTCTATTGGTTCTTCTAGTCGACGACGGATCCACCACGATCCCGATCATGGCAGGTTCACACGCATCATCGTCGTATGCTCATCTGTCCATGGCAGATCTGGAGGAAGATCACGTTGTGCAGCAGATTGCGAATGTGTCCTTGGGTCCTACGGAGGCTGAACAAGAATTCTTAGCAGTGGGTCGGTTTGTCTCTGGTAAACATGTTAAGTTTCTTTATTTTAGAGACACTATGGCGTCGGTCTGGAAGCCGGCGATGGGTATGAATGTTAGAGAACTTGATGGCCATCATTTTTTGTTTCGTATCACGAGGGGGATGTCGATCACATCATTGAGAATGGTTCGTGGTTTTTTGAACAAAATATCATGGTCCTAAAATGCATATCCCCAGTCGATGATCCAAGTACTGTTGTTTTGGATGAGGTGCCATTCTGGATCCAGATTCACAGATTGCCAGCAAGGTTCCGATCAGAGGCAGTGTTGGAAGCCATATGTGGCTTCATTGGAAGGCTTGATACAACAGATAATCAGAACATTGATGGCGGGTTACACACTTTCTCCCGCATCCGAGTTGGCATTAATGTGAACAAACCGCTGAAGAAATGAATGAATTTAAGGAAGGATGATGGGGCTTGGGTAGCAGTGGACTTCCGCTACGAATGCCTCCCGACTTTCTACTTTGTTTGTGGGATGCTGGGGCATGGGGATAAATTTTGCCCAAAGGTGAAACTGCGCATTTGGGATCCTAAGCAGGAGAAACCCTTTGGCCCCAACCTCCGTGCCGGTGGGAGAATGAATACATCATCGGTAGGCATGCAATGGATTGCACCAGAGACGGCGGTCGAACGACATGCATGGCACTTTACGACGGTGCCTCCAAAAGGAAAGAATAATCTAGCGGATAACAGAAATTCACTTACCATAGCTGGATCAATTAGTAGCACGATTCATGGACAGGTACTGGTAAATAAGGAAAAAGGGGTTTTGCTTATTTTATCTAATACTGTCACGTGCATGGAAGGTGGTATCATAGATACAGACCCGAAGCGACGCCGTACAGTGGATGTTGTTGAGGACAGTAGTGACGAGTCCATGGAGGTTGAAAATGCTCTTCCAAAAAACTTGCTGTTGGCGGGTACTGGTGGTTCCCAGTCCCGCCCTACCCAATGAGCACATTAAGCTGGAACTGTCGGGATTTGGGGAGTCCCCGAACAGTTCGTGAACTCTTGGGCATGGTGTCCAAGCAACGCCCCATGTTTGTCTTCTTAATGGAGACGAAAGCCAGATCAGATTATGTGGAAAACATTCATTTGAAGATGGATTTTGAAGGTTTATTTATTGTTGACGGTGGTGCAATTTTGATGCGGCAGTCTTTGACAATGGTGTTGGTGTAGGTGCGATTGTTCGTGATCACAATGGCAAGTTGGTAGCTGCTTTTAATTCTCGGATAAGTTGTGATCGTGATCCTCTAATGGCGGAGACTATGGCAGCAAATGAGGTGCTAACTTGGTTGAAGGCCGAAGGTTTTAATAATGTATTGTTAGAGTCGGACTCTCTTATTTTTTGTAATTGTTTTAATTCATCTCTGGTAAACCATTCTTATGTTGGTTTGATTATTAAGCAATGTCGTAGTATTGCTAATAACATTGGGAACGTGTCCGTTCACCATGTCAAAAGGTCAGCGAACCATGTCGCTCATGTGTTAGCACAGGTAACTGGTTCTACTTCTGTCCTAGGGTCGTGGCTTGCTGTGCGACCATCCTGTATTTCCCATTTGGTTGTTGTTTAATGCATTGAGTTTATACCTTTCAAAAAAAAAAAAAAGAAACAAAGAGCTGTTGCTAGATCTTCTACCGATGCAAAATACAAAGCTCTAGCAGATGTTTGTGCATAAGTAATAGGGATAAAGTACAAATAAGCCACTGAACTATTTGGGAAAAAGGAATTAAGCCATAGAACTCAAATAACTCCCAAATAAGCCATTGAACCCTGAAAAAAAAGAGCAATTAACATTTTTAACAGGTTAACTCTAGGTTTTTATTGACTGGATTGCCAAATGTTTATTTTATTTACGTTTTTTTTATTATTATAATCCATCTACATAGTAATATATTTTAAAGTAATTATAATCAAAGTAGTTTTATCTTGTCTAGATCTAATTTATTTATTTATTATTATTTTTTTAAACAAAAGATCTAGTGAAAAAATAATAATAAATAAACAAATCAAATCTCGACAAGATAAAACTATTTTGATTATAATTATTTTAAAATATAATACTATCCAAGTGGATAATATTAATAAAAATAATAATAAACGTAAATAAAATAAACATTTGGCAATCCAATCAGCAAAAACTTGGAGTTAACTTATAAAAAATGTTAATTGCTCTTTTTTTCAGGGTTCAATGGCTTATTTGCTCTTTTTTTCCGGGTTCAATGGCTTATTTGATGGTTATTTGAGTTCGATGGCTTAATTGCCATTTTCCAAATAGTTCAATGGCTTATTTGTACTTTACCCCTAAGTAATATGGATACTCTCATTGCTGCGTGAAATCAAGGTGTCATGTATCTCTCTGTTCTCAAGTTATGGTGTGACAATCTTGGTGCTACATATATGTGTGCAAATCCCATCTTCCATGCACACACAAAATACGTGGAGATTGATTATCATTTTGTTAAAGATAGAGTTGTTTCTAGAGACATTCAAGTCAATTTTATTTCAACAAAGGATCAACTTGCTAACATTTTTACAAAGGCCTTACCTAGTCCTAGATTATTTTTTTTTCCTTAGAGACAAGCTACAGGTTACTAGTATACCATATGTTTGAGGGGGAGTATTAGGATTCTATGTATTTGAGTCAAATTATGATTCTCTATCCTAGTCTCCATATGATTCTCTCTTGTATATATTCCTACAGTTTGTACATTTGTAATTACTGTTCATATAGTTATACAGTTCTCATCAGTAAAACCTAGGCCCACCAAAGAGCAGTTTTAGTTTTAGTTTTTTTTTTTTTAATCACTTGATCCATTTTGACAACTCTATACATGACAAATATAAAAACAAATAATTTTTAATTAATTAAAATGTATACAATAAATATAAAGCTACATAAACTAAAAATTTTCACTATCTTACATGGTAATAAAAGAAATTGTATTTATTGTTACCATGAATTTTTGTAGGTGACAAGAAAAACTTGTATTCATTACTCAAAGGGTGTACACGGGTGAACAACGCATTGTGACTATAACCGATAAAAAATTACAAAAAGATAAACTAACTTAGATTTTTTTTTTTAAAACAAACAATATAAATGAGTGTTTTACATAGGATGGTTTTTCCTCTCTCCTTGTGAGTGTTTTCCTCTCTCCTTGTGAGTGCCTTCTTGTCTAGGTTTTCTGAGCTTTGTGCCTTGCGTTTTCCATGGAGAAAGGTGGTACTAGTGGTTTGGCGGAAGCGTATGAAGCTTTGGCCATTGATGATGATGAGGACGGCGTGATTGTTGAAATTGACGAGATCCCGAAGCCTAGCTACGATCTCCGATTTGCGGCGGTGGGTCGTGTTGTCACTGAAAGACCGGTGAAACTTGTAGTTTTCCGGGATGTCATGGCTACGGCATGGCGGCCAATGAAAGGGATTTTGGTTCGTGAACTGGGGCAAAAACGTTTCCTGTTTGTTTTCTATTATGAAAGGGACATTTCCAGAGTTATGAATGATGGGCCATGGACGTTCGACCAGAATTTGGTCTTGCTTCGCCGGGTGGTAAATGGTGAGGATCCTATGGAAGTTCCTCTGGATATGGTCTCCTTCTGGGTCCAAGTTCATAAACTACCTACGGGGTTCATGTCTGAGAAGGTGGCGAAAGTCGTGGGCAACTATGTGGGGGAGTTTGAGCAATCGGACAAACGGAATTTTGATGGAAGTGAACGTTAATTCATGCGCGTTCGGACGAAGGTGGATATTAAGCAGCCTCTGAAAGCAAGAATGAAAATGAAGAAACTGGGGGGGGGGGGGGGGGGGGGGGGGGGGGGGAGTGGTTCTGGGTTGATCTCCGCTATGAACGACTACCGTCTTTTTGTTTCGAGTGTGGGATTATCGGGCATGCGGATAAATTCTGTCCGGCGGCGGCGGATAAGCCTATGGATGGCGGAAGTAAGCTGTATGGTGTGTGGTTGAGGGCGGGTGGCCGGAGAACGGGGGTGGCGCCGGAGAATAGGTGGCTTGTACTGGAGGAGCCGGAGGTGGCGGGACAGGCGGTTGCGAGCGTAACGGATGGTGTGTTTAATGAGATTTATGAGGGGGCTGTGATGGAGCGCCGTTTTTTCGAAAAGAAAGGAGAGGTGGGGAGGATTGAAACTGGGAGAGAGGGAGTAACGGTTGGGGCAATGAGTGTGGGTTTGAATAGGGAGGGGGTCATAAATGAGGGATTAAATGGTGAGGGAGAAAGTGAGGGGGTGGTCATAATTGAGGCTAAAAGAAGGCGTACGGATGGTGAGGGGAGGAATTTAAATGATGTTAGTCCTATGACTATTGAGCAGCAAGACTCTTTTTCTTGTGAGGTGGGCCCTGGGATCCAGGCCCACCCAGCCCAATGAATATTTTAAGTTGGAACTGCCGTGGGCTTGGAAACCCATTGGCAGTTCAGTTCTTGGTGGGCTTAGTTTATCATAAGAAGCCCCAAGTTATTTTTTTATGTGAAACGAAGATGGATGCCTGACGTCTTGAAAGGGTGCGAGTAAAACTTAAGTACGATAGTTGCTTTGTTGTGGATGCTACGGGAAGAGGGGGGGGGGGGGGGGGGCTCGCGCTTCTCTGGAATGCGGGGGTAGATATTGAAGTAAGGGGGTATTCAAACCACTACATTGATACAGTGGTCAAGAGTGATGGAGGGGGGGGGGGGGGGGGTCATGTTGGAGACTCACGGGTTGCTACGGGGAACCTGATCAAAGTCGGAGGCGTGAGACTTGGGATCTCTTGAGGTATTTATCCACTCTAAATAATTTGCCTTGGGTTTTGCTGGGTGATCTAAACAATTTACAGTGGGATTGGGAGAAAGAAGGGAGATTGCCGTACCCTAGGTGGTTGCTTAGGGGGTTTGGGGATGCTGTTAGGGAGAGTGGATTATCCAATTTTGGGTTTGATGGGTGCCAGTATACTTGGGAGAAGGGGAGGGGTACATGCAATTGGGTGAGGGAAAAGCTCGATCGAATATTGGTTTCGGGTGAATGGAGAGATTTATGGCCATACGCTAGAGCAAAGTCGGTAGAGGGCAGCACGAGTGACCATATGCCGTTACTATTGACGGTGGAGGGGGGTGGCCCGGTGAGAGTGGCGCGGAGGCCTAGATTCGAGAATAGTTGGGGACATATTCCGGAGTGCAGGCAGGTTGTGGAACGGGAATGGGATAGATTGGAGGGCTGTACGATAGGGGAGAGGTTGATCGAGTGTGGTCGGGGAGTGTGGAATTGGGGTAAGGGGCAGAACAAGGGGGAGGTTGAGGTGATTCGGCGGTGTAAAAATGAGATGGGAAGGTTGCGGGGTTTACGGGATGGGGAGAGTGTACGGCGGTTTGGGGTTGTCCAACGTCAATATTTGGGCTGTTTACGAAATCAGAGTGACAAGTTCAGGCAAAGGGCGAAAGAGTTGTGGTATAGGGAGGGGGATAGTAACTCCAGATTTTTTCATAACTCGGTGAATACAACACGTAGGAGGAATCGAATTGCGGCCCTAAGGGATGAGGGGGGTGTGCTGATTCGAGATGAACGGGAGATGGGAGGGATCATGGTGAGGTATTTTTCTGCCCTGTTCACGGCTGGTGGAGGAGATGTGGGTCAGGTTGTTAATTATTTGGAGAATCGGGTTGATGAAGCTCAGAATGCGGCTTTGGTGAGCGAGGTCACGGAGGAGGAAGTGAGGGCTGCCTTGTTCGCGATGTATCCGGATAAATCTCCAGGACCGGATGGCTTATCTCCAGGATTCTTCCAGAACTATTGGTCTATTTTAGGCCCTGAGGTAGTTTCCTTTTGTCGTCTGTTTATGAATACTGGAAAGATGCCGGAGCGGGTAAATGATACACATATTGTGTTAATTCCAAAATGTAAAACCCCAGAAAATATGTCTGAGTTTCGCCTTATCTCTTTATGTAATTTAATTTATCGCATTATTGCTAAGGTTCTGGCCACTCGCCTGCGTGTGTTGCTGGACTCTATTATTGACCCTGCCCAGAGTGCTTTTATCCCGGGGAGGTCGATTGTAGATAATGTGCTTATTGCGTTTGAGTCAGCTCACTGTTTGAAGCGTCAACCTGGGGATAGGGGTGGTTTTGGGGCCCTAAAAATTGACATGAGTAAGGCTTATGATCGGGTTGAATGGGGTTTTTTGTGTCAAGTGCTTACGAAGATGGGGTTTAGTGACAAATGGGTGGGGATTATGAGGGAGTGTGTGTCTAGTGTGCGCTATACGGTGTTGGTAGAGGGGAAAGAGTGGGGGCCAGTGGTACCGGAGAGGGGGCTAAGACAGGGGGACCCGTTATCACCTTATTTATTTATCTTGGTAGCGGAGTGCTTAAGTGTTATGTTGAGAGTTCGGGAGGAGGAGGGGATGCTGCACGGGTTAAGGGTTGTGAGAGGGGCTCCGGCAATATCCCATCTTTTCTTTGCGGATGACTGCCTGTTGCTCTTTCGGGCAAACAATTTTGAAGCCGAGGTTCTAAGGGATGTTTTGAGAGATTACGGGATGGCAAGTGGGCAGGAGGTAAATTTTGATAAATCATCTATAGTGTTTGGACGGAATGTGCATAGGGAGGATAAGGAGGCTGTTTGCGGGAGTTTAGGGATTGGCGAACAGCAGGGACAAGGAAAATACTTGGGTCTACCTGGATATGTGGGGAGGAAAAAGAAGGAAATTTTGGGGTTTATTCGGGACCGGGTTAGGGCTCGGGTTATGAATTGGGGGAACCGTTTCTTGTCTAGAGGGGGTAGAGAGGTGCTTCTAAAGACTGTTTTGCAAAGAAGGGGGTGTGAAAGAAGGGAAAGAGGGAGAATAAGGTGGAGTAGGTGGAGTGATTTGTGTGTGCCAAAGAAGTATGGTGGTATGGGTTTTAGGAGAGTGCGGGAGATGAACCTTGCGATGTTAGGAAAACAGGGGTGGAATTTTCTTACTAAACCAAATGCTCTAGTTACAAGGGTCTTTAAGGCGAGATATTTCCCAAAATCCACTTTTTTGCAGGCAACAAGAGGTTCAAATCCGTCATATGTGTGGTCTAGTATTTGGGAAACACAGGAGTTGGTGAGGAAGGGGGTTAGATGGAGGATTGGAAATGGTGAGGGGACTAAAGTTTGGGGCGACCCCTGGCTTCCGGATGGGGGTAATCCTTATGTTACTACACCGAGTCAGGAATACTTGGGGGATCCGTGGGTGAGTTCTTTGATGCGTATTGATGGAAATGAGTGGGATCATGGGGTGGTAAGAGATATTTTGGAGGAGCGGGATGCAAATTTGGTTTTGAGTGTACCTTTGTCGGCTAGGGGGGGGGGGGGTCGTGATTCTCTCTTTTGGAGTCAGGAGCAAAATGGACTGTATTCGGTGTGTAGCGCATATAGGTTGGCCTCGGGGGAGTTTGGACAGGGGGACGGGGTAGTATGGAGGGGTATATGGCGGATGAGAGTGCCACCAAAAGTTAAATGCTTTTTCTGGAATTTATGCACGCTTCGGCTACCCACCAAAGATGCTTTACTGTTAAAACACGTACCTTGTGATCCTGTTTGTGTGTTGTGTGGAAAAGCAAATGAGAGCACGGTTCATCTTTTTGCTAATTGTGAATTTGCGCATAAGAGTTGGCGTGTGTTAAATGGGGAATGGAATATGGGGTATATTGAGTCTATTCATGGGTGGTTAGATGAATTGTGGTCTGGAAGCTTATCTATTATGATGATTGAGCAGGTGGTGATGGTGGCGTGGGCAATTTGGGAAGCTAGAAACTCTATGGTTTGGCATCAAAAGGACACGGACCCTCAATCTATGGTGTGTTATGCGTTGTCCTATGCTCAGAATTGGCGTGAGATCAGGGGAAGGGATGGTGATGTTGCAAGGGGGGGTTTGCTTAGTGTTCAGGACGGGCAGGTGAGGGTGTATGACCCTGGGTGGATCCGTGTTACGGTGGATGTTGCAATGGATTATAGAAGACAGCGCATGGGGTTTGGATGGAGTGTCTTTAACTGGGATGGCACGGTTAGGGGAGTGGTAATGTTTGCAAAGCATGGGTTGCATACGGTGAAAGAGGCGGAAGCTTTAGGAGCTAGAGAGGCACTAAGTTGGATTAAGAGAAAGGGGTGGGAGCGGGTGGTCCTTGAGACCGATGCTCAACTAGTCACAACGGCGGTGGCGGGGGGACGGAATATATCACCTTTTGGCTTAATTGTGAACGACATCCGGGAGCTTTTAAGTCAAATGCCTACGGTAAATTTTCGCTTTGTTCATCGGCAACATGTTATGGTGTCTCATTGTTTAGCCAAGAGAGCTCTTTGTTGTGTAGAGGAGGGTCGTGTGGAGTATTTTGACTATATTCCTCGTTTTGTATCCATTCCTCTATGTAACAATACTGGTATCTATTAATGAAATCTGGTTGGTTTTTGTTCAAAAAAAAAAAAAAAAAAAACTTAGATTTTTCATAGATGATCGACTTAAACCTAAAAGATTAATAAATTGATTGCATTGATTGTTACCCTGAATTGACTGATGACATTCCAAATTAAAAATAAATATACTCATATTAATAGGTCAGATAGTAAAATATTTTTACCGTGTTCGTGAAAAATAGGAATAAGGGTTAAATAAGCCACCGAACTACACCCAAAAATGCAATTAGGCCACTGAACTAAAAAACAATGCAATTAGGCCATTGAACAATGCAAAATGATGCAATTGAGCCAAATGTGACTTGTTTACCTGTTAGTTAGTTTTTTATTTTATTTTATTTTAATAATTTTAGATAACAATTTAAAAAAAAAAAAAATCCTCACTGAACGTTGCTTAGATTGGATTGGCGGTGGAGAGTTATCCTTCTTTGGTAGAGACGGCGCCGATGGAACTCCAACAGGCAGCCACGACGAAGGCCCTAGAGGAGAAAAACTCCCATAATAATATCCCGGTTGTGGCCACCGCATGAGGACAGTCGTGCGGGAAACAATGAATATTGTTCCCCAGGCCGACAAGGTGGCCGCCGCAGCAAGAAGAAGAAGCGGCGCAAAGCCATCGCCGCCGTGTGGCTTACCGAGATTTTTCGCTCGCCGCCGCTCTCTTCCTCCATAAACTGATAAACACAAACTTCACAGTCTTGATCACCTCCATGGTCTGCAACTCGGTAGATTTTCTAGGCAAACATTCGAGCAGCGCTGCAATGTCGGGATCATTCAGCGGATTGATAGCCTTAGTCTGCGCGAAAATTTCTCTGTCCTCCACAGGACTTACAGTACGGCGTTGGGGGCCAAAGAACTCAGGTTTGATGCCATGGTTCTCGAGCATCATTAATAGCGTGGGAGGATCTATAGTGCTAGTAGCTGAGATTTTTTTTTTAAATTTTAGATTTATTATTTAAAATTATTAAAATAAAATTAAAAATAATTATTTTCGTATGATAACCTACACATCATCAATCTATCAGGTAAGCATGTCACATTTGGCTCAATTGCATTATTTTTTATTGTTCAAGGACCCAATTGCATTGTTTTTGAGTTCAATGGCCTAATTGCATTTTTATGTGTAGTTTGGTGGTCTATTTGACCCTTATTCCTGAAAACTAATACTCCGGTATGTACTAATATTTGTACCATAGCCAAAAACTCGTAAACTACAACTTTACAAAAATACCAATTCACTTCTACTCCTTTTCTTAAACGATAGTTTTATCCACGTCATTAAATTAAATTAAATAAAAAAAAAAAGCTGAAGATGAAAACAGAATTAACAAAACAAAAAAAAAATTAAAAAAAAAATGATGAGGAATTCAGGAGAAATGTCGAAAGAGAAGCTTTGACTTGCCAGTGGAGAGCTAGAGAATCAGCAAAAACACACAATACTTTCCTCAGAGGATGAGGAATCCAAACTTAAACTGGAATATGGGGTGTGATTTCAATTATTTCTTTGCGTTTCTGATTCTTATTTTGCTTCTATGTTCATCATCCTCACTATCAGTGCAAGAATCAGAAGCTATAGAGTCCCTGCTAAGCCGTCTGGACAGCAAAAGACCATCAAATTCAGTCCAAGAATCTGCAGCCAAGGGTGTCCTTCAAAGGCTCCTTCCCACCCATTTGTCAAGTTTTGAGCTCAAAATTGTGTCCAAGGTACCATATTTCTGTAACTATTCTGTAATTTCTGGTTTCTTTGGAATCCTGGTTGTTTATAAGCTACTCAGTGCCATTTTCTTTGGATTTCTAATTCATGGTCTTTCTCATTTAGTATAATTTCGCTGTTGATTTTCATTATCTGGTTATTCTTTGAATTCATGCGGGCCTAATCGGTTTTAGAATATAGAATAGCTCAGAAAAATGTTTAGTTATGAAGATAATAGTGGAGAAAAGTACACGCAGTGCATCTCATTGGGTCTAGAGTACCCAAATTTTATGTGAGACTCAGATTTTTGACCCTTTAATGGATTCTCAATGCTGACTTAGCTTGTTGTCTTTAATCTGAAGTGTCTTTAGAGCAACCACAATAGTTGCTTGGATGTGTCAATAGAAAAGTGTTTATTCGTCTGCAATCTCATATCCTGGGATATTGAACAACTTTTCTTTGAAGAACATTTATTAAACAATTTTGGCTTGAATTATTATCACAGAGAGGTAGGTCACCAAACAAGAACTAGAAATAAAAAAAGGGGATTCAATTGTTCTTTAAACTTTTAAGGAAGATACTGTTTCTTTTGACATAACTGTTCTCCATCCTGTAACACGCTATTCTTCAGCTGAACCATGCAAATTTCATATCTTAATTTCTCAGGTTCGGTGTCATTGTTATCTTTATCTGGTTGCATGGATTCATGTTATTCTAATCGATATGCTTGAAAGCTGGTTGTAGGATGTTTGTGGTGGGCAAAGCTGCTTTAGAGTAACCAATTTCAAGAGCTCAAGTGGAGATTCACCTCAGATACTGTATGTATTTTTACTATTTTCTACCTTTTATTTCTATATACATAATTCTCCCTAAATTTTAATCCTTATGCTATTGGAGACTTCACAAATGAAATAGCCATGCCTTCTAGAGTATTATGCAACAGGTCAGAAGAGGGACATTGTCCCCAATCCTATTGCATATAGAGGTTGCATTTCTGAATAATTAATGTCTATGATTTGATACACTATCTTATCCACGTAACCTTTTTCTATTCAAAGTGATTTTTTTCAAAAGTACTACAGAATTTTTGATTATAGAAGAATAGCAGATCTTAAGTTCTACATTGTTATCATTTCCTTGAAGATTCTTTGGCTAGACAATGTCTTTGGGTGGCTATTTCTCTTTTCCTTATATAGAGATGACAATATTTTCATTCTCAGCTAAATAATTCGCAACATTCTTTTTGTTAAGGGATAGAACACCTTTTTGATATTGTCATGTCAATGCTTATATTGTCTGAAACATTAACATTAGATTTTGATTCTTTTTTTTTTTTTTTTTTTTGCTTTCCAAGGATACAAGGAACTACAGCAATTGAAATCACATCAGGCCTCCATTGGTACTTAAAGTATTGGTGTGGTGCTCACATTTCATGGGAAAAGACTGGGGGCATACAAATAAATTCAGTTCCCAAGCCAGGATTACTACCTTCTGTAAGTACAGAGGGTGTGATGATTCAACGGCCTGTGCCATGGAACTACTACCAAAATGTTGTCACTTCTAGCTGTAAGTGTGACATTTTCACTCATTGCTTCAGTCTAACAGATAAATTAGTTCCCCGTTCAAAATTTTGGAGCCATGCTGGTTCGCTTAATTGGTCTAACTCCACCCAGAATAAGAAAATGATGAGAAAAGATACATACCTCAGCCTTAGTTAATTTTCTCTTATGTTGTGGACTTTTATGCTCTGTGGTAAGTGAAAGTCTTATGTTCTGGAAGTTTCCCACTTCTCTGTTTGTGGGATTGGATTTATTTTTTTATTGTGTTTATCATTTACTCCATCTTTAAGTAAATTTTATGTGTCTGCTATACTTATCCCTAACAAATTCTTGCTTTACCTCAGTTTAACACAGTTTGGGGCGTTTGGGCAAAGTCAGTTTAGCATACTAAAGCTATTTTCAATCATTTATTTATTGAATTAAGAAAACAATCTTCAAGTGTCTTGGGACATAAAGTTCTACTATTGGAAAAAGTGGAATCCTTCTCTGAAGTTCTAACACATGGCCAACAAAACAGGGAAAGGGTTGAAAGTAACAAGTTACTAAGGCTTTCAGGAAGGGTTGCCTTAGTGCGGCTACAAAGCAACTAAAATTCTTTGGTTATTTAGTTTTTGTCTGAAACAGTTTTTTTTTTTTTTTTTTTTTTTTTTTGCCACATCTATTTCTTATTGCAATTCTATTGCTCTCGGTATCACAGCTTAGCACAATTCAAATATTCAATTGCAGATTCCTATGTATGGTGGGATTGGCAGAGATGGGAGAAAGAGATAGACTGGATGGCGCTCCAAGGAATTAATCTGCCCCTAGCATTTACCGGGCAAGAAGCCATCTGGCAAAAGGTTTTCTTGGTATGTACATTATTGCTTCTTAGTTTATGTTGCTAGTTTGGCTTTGAAAGCTTATTTACTGTTTACCATGGATAAGTCTGTACTCTATAGCATTAGCATAGCAATTGCTGCTTATCATTCATATAGTCAATTCTAGGGCAATTTCAGTATAAGGTTTCTCATAATAGTTCTCCACACTACATGAATTAAGCAGACAGTTTTTTCTTTTTTCTTAAAGCTGAGAACTTGCTGCTGGAATAAATATTAATTCTTGCCTGGGACCTCATAGTCTAGTAGCGTAAGCCTAAGACTCCATACAAGTAGTCTCAAAGTTTTATCCCCATTCCTGAGAGTTGTACGGGAATATATATATATATACACACACACACACAACACACATTATTGTTTTGAATTTTTGGTTTCATTCTTTTAATTTGAGATTGCATTTATGCATATAATAAAATTAAGTGCATAATATTATATTAGGAATCAACCAGTAGTCTTGAACCTGGTGGCAAGAGTGGCATTTTAAAGACATATACCAATGTGACCATTTCGACTCCACTGGGGGGATCGAACCCAGAATCTCTGGTTCCGTAGACCAGCACCTTATCCATTGGGCCATGGAGTCATTTATGTTTATAGGCATTTTATTTTAGTCAACCAATTTGGAGCTGGTAGTCTTGAACCTGGTGGCGAGAGTAGCATTTTAAAAAGTCATATACCAATGTGACCATTTCGACTCGGGGATCAAACCCAGAATCTCTGGTTCCGTAGACCAGCACCTTATCCATTGGGCCATGGAGTCATTTATATTTATAGGCATTTTATTTTAGTCAACCAATTTGGAGCTGGTAATCTTGAACCTGGTGGTGAAGTTTCTATCCAAAACAAACCATTATCCAATAATAAGCATTGAATTGGTCCAACATGAGATCACACAAGAGTGGCATTTTGAAGTCATATACCAATGTGACCATTTTGACTCAATTGGGGATTGAACCCAGAATCTCTGGTTCCGTAGACCAACACCTTATCCATTGGGCCATGGAGTCATTTATGTTTATACATTTGGTATTGCCATAACTTATATAAACTTTCATGTTTTATGTGTTGGCAAGGTTGGTCAAATCAATCAGCTTTTTCTGCTGGTAGGTTGATGAAAATTTCTTGGTTAGACAGTGTGCTTGTATTTTTGTACTCAATTGGAACGGGTGCCATTTCTTTTCATTAAAAGAAACAACACTGTTTTGGACATGGTCCACATTAAAATTTGCTCCCCACCACTTCAATTTTTTTTTTTTAAAAATAAAAAATTCAACTTGGCACAATCACATTAGATTGAGGCGGGCAGTCTCATGGGCGTGTCACAACCCGTGTATAGAGACGGGCAGGCAGTCCCATGCCCGTGGGACTGCTTGTGCGGATTCCTTCCTGCTGGTCTTATTATAATATAAAAACATGCAACCACACTGGTTGCTTTGAGTGGTTTTTTTTTTAAGTGAAGAAAAAATTGCAGCTATTACCTGAATATGTGCGTTGGATAAAATAACACTAATATTCGAAATAAATCAACAAAAATTCAAAATAAATTTCTTAAAAGATCAAATATAGCACAATAACAATAATATTCGAAATAATCAACAAAAAATTGAAATAAATCAAATATAGAATAAATAAAAATTGTTGGTTTTATGACTTTTTTGGGCAGTCAACGACAGGCCAACACTACCGTGAGAGAATATAGGTATTTTGTATTAATGAGTATTGCTTGTGAGTATTAAAAATTGCTTCCCCTCCCCCATGTATGGGGTCTATTTATACATATTATGGGCCTATAGCCCTACAAGGAATAAGAATCCTAGACTATCTCATATTGGAGTCCTTGTCATGTTGGGAATAACAAGCCCTAATCCTACTACATTAGGAATAATGAGTCCAATCCTTACTACATTATGAATACTAAGCCCAATCCTATTAAATTCTTAAGGTTTCTCGGTACTGTGTATCCTTCTTGGGCTTTCTTGATCCATTTACTTTCTTGGGCTGGTCAATGTGGCCCAGGCTCAGTATACCATCCATAGAAAATACTTACCGTTAAAAATGGCAATGGCAGTGTAGGAATTCTATTAATCTGATTTGAATTTAAATAATATTTCAAATATATGCAGAAATAGGAAATGCATAAAACTTTGTCAAATTATCTAAGAGACCCTTCATAAATGCACATAAGCTACTACACGAATGCACACAGGGTAGATTGTGCGCATTCATGTTGGGCAAATTGCACACAATCTAGTCTGTGTGCATATATGTAGTAGTTTGTGTGCATTTTGGAAAAGTCTCACCGGACTCACGGGAAGAAGTGGTCTCATTTGATCATTACTATATGTAATTCACACTCCTCCAATGGAAAGGGATACGATAATTTATAGACAAGGAAGGTCACATAAAAAATGTAACAAACTACCTAGTAAAGCAACCACTAATACCTCTATTAACAATTATTTCTACCTATAAATTAGGGAACTAATTTCTGGTAGAAATTAGGAAACTGAAAACAGAAGAATATACAGAATAAAAGAGTAGACAATAGTAAATTAAAAACATTCCTTTCAACATTTCCTTTTCTTGATTTTCAACTTCTGTTGTTTGACAGCAAGAGTTTAATTTGACCGCCCAAGATTTGAATGATTTCTTTGGTGGACCTGCTTTCCTAGCTTGGGCTCGTATGGCAAATCTACATGGGTAAGGCTTGCCTCCTCAATTACAGTGCAGAACCTTTTTATGACCAAATCATTTATTTTCTAGTTGAAAGATTTAGTTAAATTTTAAACTAATTATCAGGTTGTAATAATGCTTTAGAAAGAGTTCTAAAAGAATAATGAAATTTAGTATCATATATCCAAAATAACGTTTTGATTTGTCAAAGTTTTATGCATTTCCTATTTCTCTCTTGGACACTTTAACTATGGTCGGGATTTTCTTGCTCTTGCTTGTTTACTTTACTGAACAATTATATTAGATTTACCAAGAGAGTTTACGTTTCATCATTCTCTGCAAAATAGATGGGGTGGGCCTTTGTCCCAAAACTGGTTGGATAAACAGCTGTCATTGCAGAAGCAGATACTACAGAGGATGACAGAGCTAGGCATGACCCCAGGTAGACTTTCATTTTGACTTAAAATACTCTTTTCTCCTTAATTGGGTCGGCCCGGTGCGAACGGGGATTAGTCTGAGTATGGTACGGGCTTAAAGGTGCCTCCTACAGTTAGGGCCTGCTCAGGATACCTCGTGGTCTGACAAAAAAAAATACTCTTTTCTCATTTTGGCTCATTTACACCTTATAAATCTGTAGTTATAGAGCCAAAAATAAAATGTTTATATACTTTGGCAGCTACTGCCTGCTAGTATGTTTTTATGTTTTTCTTAAACAAGTTAAGGTGACCAACAACCATGATTTTTTATTTTTATTTTTTAATTTATTTTTTATTTTTTTATTTTTCCAGTTCTCCCATCGTTCTCTGGGAATGTACCAGCTGCAATAAAAAAGAAGTTTCCCTCTGCAAATATAACTAGACTTGGAGACTGGTATTTCTTGTCTAACTACTCATCTCTATATCTGAATCACTCTTTTACATCTTCCTTTCACCATCTCCTTGTTGACATGTACTGTATTGTTTATATTGTTGTCTTTAACTTTTTCTCTGTCAAATGATTTTTGATCATAACGTTTTCCTTGTCAATTTACCCCACTCAAATGTGTGTTTGAATGCTCGAATTTGATAAAATTTCAAACTCTTTGATCCTAGGAACACGGTTGATGGTGACCCTCGATGGTGTTGTACTTTCCTTTTAGATTCTTCTGACCCATTATTTGTAGATATTGGCGAAGCATTTATTCGCCATCAGTTAAAAGGTGATTTACTTGTCACTTATTTGTTACTCTCTATTGATTTTATGTGTTATATTTGAATGCAGTCAATAACAACAGGATTTCGTTTTTCAAGGCTTAATTAAGTAGTGGTGACTAAAAGCTTCAAATTTGAAATGGCCTAGTTTAGTGTTACCATTTCCATTCTTTTTTGAAGCTTTTGATCTCTCTCTCTCTCTTCAAAAGCAACATCTAAACTGGAAAACTGTGAAGTCTACAAATATAGTGTGCTCTACAGTTTTATGATATGTTATTGTATGGCGTATTATTTGAGATTCGTTAACTACACTCCAATTGTTCATTTCTTGTTTACATCTTTGTTTGGCAGAGTACGGAAGCATCACAAATATTTACAGCTGGTATTCTTTCTTTCAACTTTAATTACGTGTATGGCGGTCCCTAACTTTCACTTTATCTTCATTCCAATCTTAAATTTTTTTTGCCTGATTTTATATTCATCCTATCAAATTACCCGAACAAGTTAGGACTTAGGTGTCTTCTTTATCATCTTCCATATATGGTTATACCTTTGAATGTGAACATATACATAGCTTTAGACTCGGTTAAGAAAAGAACCAACAGCTTTTAGATAATCAATTTATCAAAATGATGGATTAAATTAACCCGGTATCCCAAATTACTTAACCCAATAATAATAGGAATAAATAAATGGATAATAAAATAGGACAATATTTAAGATGATTACAAAGTGAGAAAATGATTGAAAGATGTCTTAACAAGACAATAATGAGCTAATTTATACTAAGGCTTCCTCCTAACCGCCCCCCATGGGAATAGGGCGGGTCGTTGGATCCTCTTTGACCGTGTTCGCGCGTGTAGCACACAAGGCCGATGCTGCACCAAGCCAAGGCCGCCCCAGGTCGAGGCCTCCCCAAGCCGAGGCCACCTCGGGCTGAGGCCGCCCCAAGCTTGGGTCGTCCTCGCTTCTCCTCGGGTCGGTTTGCCCCGGATTCGTCTCTAATATATGATATATCCATCACAGAGCAACTGAATATTTGGAAATATTGGATGTTGGTGTGAACTTCTCAAGTGTATTATGCATTTATGTGTCAGTGTAACTAAAAAAGTCGTATAGTTCATCATAATGATTTAGCTACTTTGATGGCTAGGAGTGCCTATGTTGCAATTCTTTTGCTTCCTGCAAAATGTTTCCTCCTATGCTTTATATTATGACATCGAGAAAGTATTTAATGCAGCGATACCTTTAATGAGAACACTCCACCTTCAAGCGATCCATCATATATTTCTTCTCTTGGATCTGCGGTCTACAAAGCAATGTCCAAAGCAGATAAGGATGCAGTGTGGCTAATGCAAGTATGTTTATCTTCTAGTCCACTCTTAGGCCGTGTTTGGTTCATGGGTTTCCACATCAGGAATGAGAATCAAAATCATAGTTAGTGTTTGGTTGACAACTTTTTGAAACACAACTATGAGATTTGATTACCCATCCAATTAAAAACCTCATTCCCTAATTAAAAACGGGTATCATTCCATCTTATTGGTAATTTGATTTTTAAGTTTGGATTAGTGCTTTTAGATTTTTTTTTTTTTTTTTTTTTTTTTGGTTCATATTGGTGCTTTGAGTGTCATTATATTATGATTAATTGTCTTGATTTTTTGTTTTTGTATTTTTAAAACATTTATTCCCATTATAGGGTTATACATAGCCAAACATCAATATTAGTTTCCAATACCACCATACTGCCAAACATGCAAAATACTTTCACCAAAACCCATTACCATTAACAAGTATTTGATTCCGATTCCGATTCCCATGTGCGAACCAAACACACCCTTAGTTTTATTAAGCAATTCAACTTCATATATTTCTGCTTTTTCTGTGACTACAAACTCTTTTCTACTAAATGTTTCCTTCTATTCACTTTAACTCCACAAAACTATCAACATGACTGTTAGAGTAGCCTCGTTGAAACAATTGCAATTTGCAATAATCTTTTCCTTGTACAATTCTCATTGTAAGGATATAACTGTATTTTCACATTGGGGGCACATTTACTTGCAGTTCCTTTTCTTTTATTCTGCTAGTACTTCAAGACTCGGGGAGAAACTTCCTATAGATGTGTATAAACCTCACTTGCAGCATACACTGTCCTCTGATCTGCTTATTCGGTTGTGCAAAAATTTAGTTCTAATTGATATATCAATCTGCAGGGTTGGCTATTTTATTCGGACTCCTCATTTTGGAAGCCACCACAGATGGAGGTATGCTGTTATGTCATTAGGAAGAAGCTTTTATCAATTTCATGTCTTTGAGGTCTTTGCCCTTGTGATGATTTATCATGTATTCAAGTGTGTGTGCAGTATTACTTATTTGTTGATCCACGTTGTCAAGTGGACTGTTTTGTGTATCTATCAATTATGCTATCCACGGATACATTTTCCTGCACTCAATTGGGCTATAATGCACATGGGCTAAACCACACTAAAATATTGAATCCAATCAATTAATTAGTCTAACTCATGGCCTTATAAAGGACAAATTATACCATGGACTAAGGTCTATCTTGCAATGTGGGCCCTGGTCCAAAATAATCTTCAGAGGTACAGAATATGACACATAATTTTTGGACCAGGGCCCACAATGCAAAATGGACCTTGGTCCATGGTATGAACATATAGTTCAGTAATTATGAACATAGAACCGTGTTCACCTTGCAAGATGAACACGGTTCCACAGCATAACAATTGATAACAATTGCTTATAAATGCATATGTTCTCTTTTATAAGTGAATCATGAACCTTAGCCCTCTTGTAGCACATGCACTTATATAGTGATTCTTTTGTCTTTTAAATGTAAAGCCAAATGGAAAACATGTGCGAAGATCACCGGGATGTTGAAAGTTCCAATGATCTTCATTTTCAACGTTGATTTTATGAACTTCATTTTCAACGTTGATCTTCATTTTCAATGTTGAAAGTGCAAACTCTTTGATTTTATGAACTTCATTTTCAACGTTGGCTCATACTGGCAGGCACTTCTACATTCTGTTCCATTCGGGAAGATGATAGTTCTTGATTTATTTGCTGATGTCCACCCAATATGGAAGAATTCTTCTCAATTTTATGGCACTCCTTACATATGGTATGCATGAAGTTATTCAGTGTTCAGCACTCCTCAGGAAGCTCGAATTTTAGTTCTATTCCTTGTTTGATATTTCCTATCATCTACATAAAATAGGTGTATGCTGCACAACTTTGGAGGCAATATTGAAATGTATGGCACGATGGATTCTGTTGCCTCGGGCCCTATTGATGCTCGTACTAGTGAAAATTCAACAATGGTGAGTGAAATCCACTTATGCGCACCTCAAAGCTCGTTCCCATGTTCATCTTAAGCTAAGATGTGAATTAGTCTTCACCCCCTTATTCTACCAGAATGTTTACTGAACTCCTTCGAGCAAATTTTGATTCTGAAGTTACTTACTTGACAACTTTCTGAGCAGGTTGGGGTCGGCATGTGCATGGAAGGGATAGAACACAACCCAGTTGTGTATGAGCTGATGTCTGAAATGGCATTCAGGAGCGACAATTTTGACGTTAAGGTAACAAAACGTTTCTTGCATTGGAAACAAATATGAGGGAAATATACGTGTTTATATTGAAAGTACTGTTTTCTGTGATAGGCATGGTTGAAATCCTATGCTAGTAGACGATATGGTAAAGCAGTTGGTGAAGTCGAAGCTGCTTGGGAGATACTTTATCACACAGTATACAATTGCACAGACGGAATTGCTGTATGTTCTTCCTCTTGGTTAACTATCAAGTTATTCTTACTCCATTGTAGTTAACTAAGAATTACTTTTAGAATTCTGGATTCTTTATAAGTTTCCATTTCAGAAATTATACTGAGTAGACTATATGTTATATATCCCCCCTTTCTGCTTCTTCATTGTTCTGTGCTAAGAATATTATCCTGTACTAATAAATTTAATGCAGGACCACAACAAAGACTACATAGTAGAATTTCCCGACTGGGATCCATCCGATCCTACAGGATCTGATATGCCCGAAAATGATCATACAAAAGCATTTGTTTTGACACATCAGAGGAGAAGATTCTTTCTCCTAGAAACTAGCTCATCTTTGCCTCAACCACACTTATGGTATTCCACCGAGGATGTCTTGAAGGCATTGAAACTATTCCTTGCTGCAGGAACTGAGCTTGCTGGAAGCCTCACTTACAGGTAAAATGACAAAACATGACCTGTATCTAATTCTCGGGTTTCCAAGAAACTGAACTAGATTCTAGGTCACTCAACTGGGCTATAATGCACATGAGCCAAACCAGATTGAATCCAATCAATTAGCTAGTTTAACCCATGACCTTATAAACCTATCTGTTCCCTCTTATATTTTCAATGTGGACTCTTAACATCGTGAACTACACTAACTTTGATGTTGCATTTGCTTCCAATAGGTATGATTTGGTGGACTTAACCAGACAGTCACTATCCAAGCTCGCAAACCAGGTTTATTTAGATTCAATAGCTGCTTTCACAAACAAGGATGCCAAAGCTTTGAGTGTTCATAGTCAGAAGTTCCTGCAACTTATCAAAGACATTGACGTACTTCTTGCTGCGGATGATGGTTGTCTCCTCGGGACCTGGCTTGAAAGTGCAAAAAGCCTGACAGAAAATTCTAACGAGACAAAACAGGTTCAAAAGTTCAAACAATAATCTACTCATATAGTCGATTTTGCAGCTTCATGATTCTGGTATAACTAAGACTACAATGCAATGTTTTTAGTATGAATGGAATGCTAGGACACAAGTGACAATGTGGTTTGATACGACAAAATACGTTCAGAGCAAGCTTCATGATTATGGTAATAAGCTTGTTTTCAAATACGTAAACAATAGTTCCATCGTTTTTTATCTGCTTCTCAGTTTACGTTAACATAAACTATTTGACTTGGTTGCTGAGAATCAGCGAATAAGTTCTGGAGCGGGCTCTTGGAAAGCTACTATCTGCCACGAGCCTCGATGTATTTCAATCATCTGTCGAGGAGCTTGAACGAAAACGTGGAGTTCAAGGTGGAGGAATGGAGAAAAGAGTGGATTGCGTTTTCGGAGAAATGGCAGAGAGGTTCAGAGCTTTACCCAGTGAAGGCACAAGGTGATGCTTTAGCTATTGCAAATGCTCTGTACCAAAAGTACTTTAGCTGAGGCTTGGAATTGCATTGCACAACTGTGTGGAACTATATCTAAACATAATAAAAGATCATTTTGCAATAACAGGAGCCATGGGATCATAATTGCACATTACTAGCACTGCTGTAAAAGATCTGTTTATTTCAATTCTTTGTTTTCCAATTTAGAGAATAGATATATTTTCCTTTCTCTGTGTTATAATCTAAGAATGTGGACTAGACTAGACTCTGATACCATGTTATAATTAGGGATACAATTTCAATCTGCCATACGGATATCCACCTAAATCCACCTCGCATGGATATATATATATATATATATATATATATATATATATATATATATATATATATAGAGAGAGAGAGAGAGAGAGAGAGTAAAATAAGTACTAATATGTAGTTAATTATACAAGTTTCTAAATTTTTACTAATTTTTTACACTAATAAGTTTATTTAAAAATATTAAAAATTTAGTTATTATATTTGAATATAACTAGTGAATTTTATTATGTGTAAGTAATTTAAATATTACTCCATATTTAAGAAGATAATAAGTGATGAGTATCCAAATTATAAGGTGGGTTAATAGCCCTTCTCCTAGTTATAATCTAGTATCCAAATTATAAGGTGGGTTAATAGCCCTTCTTCTAGTTATAATCTAAGGGGGGTGTATTCAATCATGACTTTCATAGAGTTTTAAAGACTTTTATGAACTTTAAAAGTTTGGAGGTATTCAATTCAAACTTTTAGAGAGTCTTTAAAAGTCAGGCGGTATTCAATCAAGATTTTTAAATAGTCTTTAAAAGTCGTGTGGTATTCGATTAAGACTTTTAAAGAGTCTTTAAAAGTCATGTGGAATTTAAAAAGTTATGAACTTTTGTAGACTTTTTAATTTTAAGACTTTTTGTAGACTTTTCCTTCTCAAATATAAATAGTTGAAATCCAACCATCAACCCCAAGATTTTAAATTTTCTTTCTAACAACTTTGAATGTTTTCTCTCTCTATTTAAACTCTATTTTTTTTTTCTCCCTATTTAAACTCTATAAACCTATCTAAATTCAATAAAATTATTTTTTTCTTCATTATCCTATATTTTCCTCACACCTAAACTCTACCAATTTTTCTCTCTCATAAACTTTAGAATCTTCATCTAAAAATTTGAAACAATATTATTTTACTTCATTATTGCTTGTTTATATTGGTTTTTATTTTTTTTCTATGAATTTTTTATCCCTAACTTTCTCTAATTCTCCCTAAATACATGAACAAAGCAATTTTTTTATCGTCTTAGTATATGTTTCATAATATTCATATAAATACTTATATATTTTGATTTTTATTATATATATATATATATATATATATATATATATATATATATATATATATATATATATATATATTTTAACAACAGGTTACTACGAATAGCGAATTACTGTTCGCAACAACAATTTGGAGGTGCAAACATTAGCACATTGTTGTTGTTTGCAGGCTCAAATTGCTATTGCAAATAATAGTTCTTTACGTGATGCCTAGCAATATATCAAGGATAATTTTATATATATTATTAATATTAGGTTTTTTTTTTTTTTTTTTTTTTTTTTTTTTTTTTTTTTTTTTTTTATGCAACTTGTAATTATATTTTTAAATATTTTATTTGATCAAGTCTTTTATTATAAATTTTATTGTTCAATATTGTTATGAATTTCTAATGAAATAGTTTTTTGTTTTTTTTTGTTTTTTTTTTTTTGTTGATGTTTATTAATAATATATATAAGTAATTAGCATAAGTCAGCATACTATGGATAAAAATAACAATGTTGAGAATGTTGATGTGGGTGAAGAACTATATAATAAGAAGAATTTTATGATATATTATAAATGTTTTGAAAAAAAATTGTAAATGATAAGAATCAAAATCATTGAATGTTTGTAATGATGTATCCAATTTAGAATTTCAATGACTTTTGTAAACTTTTTAAAATAAAAAGTTGATAAAAGTCTATGAATGTTTTTTTATATAGACTTTTATAGAGTCTTATAAAGTTTTAAAAAGTTTTGAACAACTCTATGAAAATCAATCAAAATTTATTAAAATTACGGAGTATCATTTTAAAAGTCTTTAAAACTCTAAAAAAGTCAAGTCATGATTGAATACACCCCCCTAAGATTGAGTTAAGGTCACTCAATTGGGTTATAATGCACACGGTTAAACCACACTATGAAACTAAATCTAAACAATTAACTAGTGTAACTTATAACTTTATAAACTGATATGTTCTCTATTATTTTATCAAATGTGGGACTCTTAACACTAAGAAAAATGAAAAATCTCCCCATATAAACGCACCGTCATTGGAATGAATGCTGATGAAACAAAATCAATCCTTGGCACAATGTTACAATGTATATACAGATTACAGACAAGTGAAAGAATACAACAGAGATTATTGCTGCAAAAAAATCAAGAACTGAAGAAAGTATGTGGAAAAAGGTATTGCATGATTTCTGTTGGTTTTATAATCTCCAAAGCATCCAAATATTCACAAGTGTTAAAGTATCAAACCTTAGAACAACTCCATTAAGAGGGGATCGCCTTCTGCCATGAGCCGTATTAGCTTTACGAAGTCAGACTCGGTGGAAACTATCCATGGATTCACTGCCGGTGCTTGAGCGGAGTACATATTCAATGAATTTGTAGACGGCATTCCCGTCTTGTAAATCATTCTATTCAGCAGAGGGTCGAAATTTCGGGGCACATCCATTGCCATGAAGAACATGGGCACCGCAATCTTGTGGTGTATTTGCAGGTCACCCACTAAGTCTACGAGATCAATGAAGTCCTGGGTAAAACGTCTAGGAACGTAAAACACCTCGGACCCACACAGCGCAATGTTCTGGCCACTCGGGCCGCTTTCTTTGTAGTTAACTTGGAGATGAACCGGCATTGTGCTCACCACTTTCTTCACCAGGTCTGCTTGTTGTGAAAACCACGAGGCGTCCTTTCCATCAATGGATGTTCGGGACAAGGGCACCTAACCGGATAATGCACGTGAGATAAAATAAACCGTTCTTGAAGAATCATAGAAAGCAATTTAGATAATGTCAAATTACCTTATTCGTAATCCACAGCCTAGATGTGTCGGCTTGCATCAGATTCCAATAGTTTAATATAGTGTTGTCCTGAAGGTAGAGGAACCCTTCGGTGTCGTTAAATCTTTCGAGAATACCAGGGATGTATCTGCCATTCAATTAAAATGAATTTAGAAACAGCCCTTAACGGTTGAATTTGAAAGATCCAAAGGCCTAGAGGGTGGAGAATAACAACCACCCGCCAGTTAGGCGTGTTGAGCATATAACCATTAATGTGCAATCTAACTATTAGCTTAGGCTTTTAGTTGAGATGGAGCACATGCTTCAATTAGGCGGAAACAGAGATGAAGAATCAAGGAATGACAAAATGTATATAATACTGAAAGATTACAATATATTACGATAATTCTATGTTTCTAATGAAGAAACATAGTACATATATATACACACACATAAATGTTAATTTAAGCACCTATTCATAAACAGACACAACCCAATAGACAGACATACGTACTTGTATATTTAAGAATGGAAAGCTAAAATGTGAAATGGGAAATCCAAATATAATCAAAAGCTTTAAATTAAATAACTAATCAAAGCTTCTTTATGAAGTTGCATACGTACTTGTATATTTGATCCAACTCGCCTTGTTCGACGGCCAAATCAGCATCGGCCTGTGTTGACAGAATAACCACGGTTTTGAATACCCTTCCGTAAAGCAGTCTCCATTCTAATGCGGTTTGCTGCACCGAACTACTGACAAACATGATTAGCACTACTTTGCCGAATCTCTTCCTCCACCGTATCAAGTTCCCGATTTCGTAATTCACCACACCCGATTCCTCGACTCCGAGATGTACAGAAGGTAGCTTTTGCGGGACAAATTCCTTTCTGTCCCCCGGGCCAATATTTGCCTTTCGAGTTTGACCGTCCAACTTTATTGCCGTTAGCCTTGGCTGCTGATACCCAATTGCAATCAAATCTTGCAACCAAGCAGCGGTGAACTTCACATCGTTCTCGCTCCAAAACCCCTCTAGTGCCATGGAATAGCTCAATTGCAAAATTTTGTCGAACAATTTTTGACTTTGGGAACGGGATCTCCACGAAACTAAATATCTTACCAAACGACCCACATTAACGTGTAGATCTCTCTCTTCTGAAAATGGGTACCCTTCGACTTTGTCGTTTCTGTGTACTGTAGGTGGATATACAGCTACGAAACCACCAATCTCCCATAACAACCTTTGTGCCCAATAGCCTCTTAAAACGTCAGAAGCCATTGTGCTGACAGAAACGGGGAGCATCAATCCCCAGAACGCATTATAATGGAACATAGTGTTGAATGAATTGATCGGAACCATTAACCCTTGGGGCAACGCAACCTTGGGGGCACGTTCATCGAACCTAATATCGAATGCTTCCGATCCCCGCTTTCTAGTTGAATAAAAAACCGCATCAACATCCGGCAACCCATTCGAGATACCCTGCTGTATATATTGCTTCCCTCCAGACACTTCACGGTAAAACTCCTCATGATTAACTACACCCACATTTTCCAACGGCAACCCTCTAGGCCAAACGGACCGTTGCCCAAAATGTATATAAGGATTCACAACACTCCTATTCACAATTTCTAGACTATACTGCAAAATTTTCTCCTCTTTTCCCTTCATCCCATCCAACTCCAAATCAAAATGCTTCCCAATCTCTCCACCAATCACTTCCCCACGATCATCGAAATCAAATATCCTCTTAGCACCATGCTGGATTGCAAAAAGATACCCGACGCTCTTCCTAAGATAAGAATCATAAGGAAGGTGATCCACCACCCTAAACCCCAAATCAGCCTGTTGCTCCAACGACAAGTATATCGCACCCTTCAGATTCCAATCCTTTGGGGTCTTCGAAGTTCCTATTGCAAGAACTTGCCAACCCTTTATCCTAACAAGACTTTGGAGTGAAATAGAGGGATAATCCGATACGGAGACCACAACCCATTGTTCAGAATGGAACGAAGAGTAAGGCGAGGCCTTATCTACAATGGGTTGGACCGAATCAAGATCGAGTTTAGGCAATTCGGGCTTTCGAGGTTGACTATGGTGTGATCTCTTGGAGCAAAATAAGGCAGTGGGGGTGGTGAAGGAAGTGTGGAAGTAGAAGAGGGCAGCAACAGTGATGGTAAGGAGTGAGATTATGAGGATTTTGACAGAGTTTTCTGATGCCCATGTTGAGAAATCAAGATTCTTTGTTTCTGAGAATTGTTTTTGTTTCAAAATTTGGGGTTTTGAGGGTCTAGTGGATGATTGGTCTTGGACCATCATTGGATCAGTTACTATAAACAGGGATTTTGGTTCAGTTTCTAAATGCAAATCCTTAAACCAGTACAACCTTTCCCAAACCAACACAGATTTGCAGGCTATAAGGTTAACTAAAATTAAAGAAACAAACAAAAAATGCAAGCTTTACACAGTGTCTATGCCCATATATATAGAAATGTACGATTGTCTCACCTTTCGGCTCCGCAATGTAAAACGAAAATCAGGGCTCCTGGAGATTGACTAAACTCAGACCAAACCTCTCTGAATTTGTGTTGCTTCTAAACTTGCAGATCAGTCACCGACAGTTCTTGTTTGTTAATAATAGTTTAAGCTGGGGAAACATCGAGCACTCGCTTGAAATGGCGCGTGAGTTTAAAGCTGTAGAGCAATTAGTGATAATTTCTCTTGGATCCTTGAGATTTTTGAAAACTTTAAGAAGATCCTCTCTACTTTTAGGAATTGCATTAGGATCATCTTATTTGGCGATGCCATGTTGTTTGTTGTTGTTGTTGTTGACCATGTCATTTTGAAAATTTAATAAGGATTAATTACACATTTTAGTGTTTAAGATGAGTAAAAATAGCCAAATTAAGTTATCAAAAAAAGAAATAGCCAAATTAATCGCTTCATTACAAGAGTGAGTTAATACCAAAAAACCAGTTGCCCGAGCTAACTCATGAGCCACACAATTCGCTGATCTCTTGACATGGGAGACACTCACAGTCCTAATGTCATTAGCAATCGACCGACATTGCTTTACAATTAGACCAACATACGAAAAATTAACATTATTACAGGAATTGAAAGCATTGCATAAATTTAAATAGTCGGATTCTAGAATTATGTTATTAAGATTTTGTTCCTTCAGCCATGTTAGTGCTTCCTTGGCTGCAAGGGCCTCAGCCACGAAAGGATCTCGTTCACCGTCTAACCGCCCCTTCTTCGCTGCAACAAACCGGCCTTCGTGATCACGAACAACAGTGCCAAAACCAGCTCCATCCCCAAAAATGGCAGCATCAACTTTGCACTTGATAGTATTCATTGGCGATGATGCCCATTGAACATGAGGTCTCGTACTTGTAGTTATACTCCTTGGTTTGGTGTAGACCGTACGCCAAACATTTTGGAGGTTGATCATATGTTCTCGCGTCGTCATCACTGACGGAGCCTTATCATGCCAGACCGCGTCGTTACATGTTTGCCAGACCGACCAGAATACTGCTGCCAGCTTCACCGCCCCATCAACCGTCGAATTGCCGATCATATAATCCATGAAACTGAGGAGCTCCCTCCCTTGCAGTATATCCTCCATTTCCCAGATCCTCTTCGCAAAGGCACAATCACATAAGAGATGCTCCGTCATCTTTGTTGCATAGCCGCAGATAGGACAACCCCTCCAATCCAAACTCTCTTCAAGCGCAAGTTATCCCGTACCGGCAACAAACCTCGAGCGTATCTCCATAGGAGGTTTTTCACCTAAGGCGGAATTGGCAATGCCCATAAAGCTTTCCAAGCGTGAAAACCACCTTCGGTTTCAGTCTGCAACCCCTCGCATGCAAGCAACCGGTAGCCGTGTTGGACAGTGTACTGGCCACGAATGTCACCTACCCATCTCCAACAGTCTTTAAAATGGATGTTCACCGGGGCTACAAGAATTCTAGAGACATCGTCCGTATGGAAAAGATCACGTAAAAATGTCTTCATCCCATTGCCCATGTTCATTAAACAATCTATGCACTGTAGCATTACGTAGACTCTCTATACAGGGGGTAATTAAGGGCTTGTTTGAAGAATCCGCAAGCCAGTTCCATCCCCAAATCTTGGTATCAATCCCATCGCCAAGACGTCGTGCAATGCCCTGTTGTAGAACTTTATATCATTTCTGTTTTTATTTTTATTATATATAATACATGTGACTAAATATGTGTAAAATTTGCCAATGACCACCAAGGACCTTGTGGGCCAATGGTATCCGGTTGCTCTTCTAAGTGGGAGGTGATATGTTTGAGCTTTAGTGGAGGTGATTAATAGTAACATACTAACATAGTCAATAGTACTAAAAAAAAGTGTAAAATTTAAACAAAATTAACTGCAATGACAAATATCAATTGTTTTACCTAAAATTATATATATAATTTTTAATTTTTTAAAGTAATAGATGTTGGTGAAATCTCATTATTCTTATGTTAATTATTCTAGTTTTTATGCGCATTACGCGAATGGGATAATGGTCAATGAGTATTTTTAAATAAATACTTCAAACTATATCAATATAAGATTATATAAGAGATGTTCATGCATGGATAATTGAATATTGAATTTGTTTATTTAAATCAATAATTCAAAGTATATATGAATGCAAGATAATATATGAGATATTGATTATAATTATCACTAAATAAATGTTTGCAACTTTGTAATAACGCTAATCTAAATACTTAGTTTAAAAATGATAGTCTAAATAAATACTACTTTTGGTTTAAATTTCTCTAAGTCTTCTTAATTCTCTTTTCGGTAGCATTATCATTGTCTTCATATTCAGTACTTGTCCGACCTCTTTTTTTTTTTTTTTTTTTTTTTTTTTTTTTTTTGTTAGTAGTGTGTCATGTGCAATTGGGTTGCTGATGGTAGCATGAAGGGCAATGTCATGCAATAAGATTATGGTGTAAGAAGTTTTAGATTTGTCTTCCTGTGTATATATGACTCAAATCTTAGTTATACTATGGACTCTTTATCTTGCAAGCGTCGTTGATATATGACAGTGATAGTTTTCCCCCCTACACGTTTCATGTGTGATGTAGATTCTCATGTGTATTAAAGTATTAAACAAAATATTAATATTTATTATATTTGTAGAAGGTTCATGAGTAGTACCTTTTGTTCTAGTTCCATAACTTGTTTACTTGATAGTAACAATAATGACTCTGCATGTAGTCCGAATACTAAGTGTTTTGTGTCAAGGTTGATGTTGATTTTTTCTTTAATCCAAGCAAGTTAAGTCTAGAAAATGAAATGAATTGTAAATTTATATTAGTTATAATATATTTAAAGGATATACAATAAGTATTTTATATACAAGATCAATGAATGTTGTAACAGTGACTATTTTTTAAATGAGTTCGTGTGGATAGAAAAATTCATAGTTTATTTAATGAATAAAAGTGGATAAGGTAGTAAAAAATTAATACATTTTTTGTAGGGAATACCCCGACCGACATAGCCTTACCCCGACCGGCGTGCCTTCGTCCTTTTCTTCATGTCTTTGCAGGTTACAGGTCGGGTTTCTTGTGAAGAACCCGGTCGGGATCCGACCGGGAGTTACTCGACTGACAGTGTCGACCACCGAGCGGTAGCCCTTTAGCGAGAGAGCTGACGAGGAACACGTGGCGGCTCCACGCATTGACAGGCAGGGCACCCGGGACGGTGACACGTGGTTGCTACGTGGGAAGCATGCCGGACGGCTGGATTTGTGTCTCCGGCTCCGCGGCTATAAATACCCGCGGTAGCGACAGTGTGAAGGACTTTTGGACGATCGATAGGTTGTTGTTAGAGAATCCTGACCGCAGTCAATCGGCACTCAGAGCAACCAAGTAAATTGTACTTAGGGCCTTCACTGTGATCAATAAGAGTTGTTTATTTGCTTTAATTGGTCTCGTATTTATTTAATTACCGCTTTACGTGGCAATTAGCACTATCATTTTGGCGCCGTCCGTGGGGACCCGTGCAAGAAAGCTACCGTCTTGACGAGCACCCGGTCTCTTAGCAATCATGTATCCGTGGGCATACAACAACTTCGCTGACGATCAGGCGGATGCAGCCAGCTCATCCAACCACCAGGCGACTCAGCAGCAAGGTCAGACAATGGACCTTAATCTCAATCTCTCACCACCCCACCTCTCGAACACATACCCGGCCACCCAACAGCCGGTGAACTACATCCAACTGGGATACCCAACACCCGGTTCGCAATACCAACAGCAGCAGATGCCGTATCCCGGCCAATATCCATACCCGGTCCCACCTCAACCATACGGGTATTGGCCCGGTCAACCGATGTATTACACGCCACCGGTTGGCTACCCACCTTACACGCCTGCGTACACGGCTCCAGCCGCCGCCCCTCCAGTATACCCGGCCGCACATGTAGAGCCGCAGCATCAGCCCACTTCCCGGGCTCGACGCTCGGCTCGTTCGCGGTTGGGGTCGGGGGGTGCTGATGCGATGGAGGCACCACGGCAGGCCCAGCAAGCACCGGAGGTTCCAGCCCGAGCGGAGGATCCCGAAGAAGTTACCCGAGCGGTGGCTTTTGACCGTCTTCGACCAGCGATGCGACAACGCTTGGGACCCCAAGACCCGAGTCGGCAGCCAGAAGACGTACAGATGCAGGAGACTAGCCAGGAGGCTTCATCCGGGCATAGCGGGTCGAGATCTCACCGTCGGCGACACCCAGACGGCCAGACGGCCGAGCTCAACGAAACCCGATGATTGCTCTACAACCTCCAGGCGGAGTTTGCGCAGTTCAGGAACGCGCATCCAATGACACCCCCAGTCGACCAGTCCTCTTTGCTGAGAACTCCCTTCACTGCGGAGGTAATGGCTCAGCCATACCCGCTTGACTTGAAGGTCTCCGGGGAGAAAAACTATGATGGCCGTACGGACCCTGAGGTCCATGTCAACGACTTCTACGGCAACATGATGTTGAAGGGCGTGTCAGACGCCGTGATGTGCAGGGCTTTCTATTCCACGCTCACCGGTCGGGCGGCGGAATGGTTTCGAACTTTGCAGCCGGACTCAATTGCTGATTTTAACGCCCTGGCGATCAAGTTCGTGAAGAAGTTCATCACCTCCAAGGTGGTGAGGAAGCCCTACATGTACCTGGAAAAGGCCAAGCAGCTCGAAGGGGAAAGCTTGACCGACTTCCTCATCAAGTGGAAGGCGGCGGTCGGGGAAGTCGAGCCCATGGATGATGCGACCGCCACCCACATGCTCCACATTTCCCTCCGGGCGGGTTATTTGTACCAGGATTTCATTTTACACCCCCTTGCCACGTATGAAGAGGCCCTTCGAAGGGTCACAGATTATGCCAACGCCGGCGAGGCGAACGCCGTGAAACGCTCGCAGGAGGTCAGGTCATCGTCCCGTAAACCGGCCGGCCGGGCGGAACACCGATCGGGTGATGATCATCCCCGATCCCGCACCAGGCCTGGTGAGTTTACGGCCCTGAACCGATCCGCAGCGGAGGCCATGCAGTACGCCCAGTCCTGCAATCTCATCAAACTCCCCCGCCCCGATCAAGACGGTCCTGACAAGAGTAAGCATTGTGCTTACCA